TGACAGGGCAGGGCAGGGGGGAAGAAAAACCCCAAACATATTCTAAAATCACAGGATGGTCAAGGTGGGAAGGGATCTCTGGAGGTCATCTGGTCCAAATCCTGAGTAGCTCAAGCAGGGCCACTCAGGACCATTTCCAGATGGCTTCTGAATATCTCCAAGGAGAGAGACTCTACAACCTCTCTGGGCAATCTGTTCCAGTGCTTGGTCACCCTCACAGTAAAAAAAGTGTTTCCTGATGTTCAGACAGAACCTCCTGTGTTTCAGTTTGTGCCCATTGCCTCTTGTCCTGTCCCTGGGCACCACTGAAAAGAGCCTGTCTCTGTCATCTTTGCACTCTTCCTTCAGGTATTTATATACATTGATGAGATCCCTCCAAACCTTCTCTTCTCCAGGCTAAACAGTCCCAGCCCCCTGACTGGTGCAGAACAGGAGTATACCGCTAGTTACTGGCCTGCAACTAGACTTAGTGCCACTGATAAGCACCCTCTGGGCCTGGATGTTCAGCCAGTTCTTAGTCCACCTCACTGTCTGCTCATCCAGCCCATGCTTCATCAGCTTCTCTATAATGATCTGTGTCATCAGGTTCCTGTCTCCTTCAGCAGCAGGCCCATATTTTCCCTAAAGACTATCCTTTTGTTGTCTACATACTTATAGAAGCCCTTCTTGTTTCCTTTGATATCCCTCACCAGATTCAACTCCAGGTGGGCTTTGGCTTTCCTAACCATGTCTCTGCAAGCTCAGACAGTGTCTCTATATTCCTCTCAGGATAACTGTCTCTGCTTCCACCTTCTGTATACTTCCTTTTCATATCTGAGTTTTTGTCAGGAGCTCTTTTGTTCATCCATGCAGGCCTCCTGGCATTTTTGCTTGAGTTCCTGCTTGTTGGGATGGAATTTTCATTCACTCTTGAAGTGTCTTACATTAGAGTAGAAAGATAAAAGTCTTGTCAGAATGAAGTTATTTGAAGACCCATGTCTTGGAAAACTCTGGGGCAAGAAATTATTAAAACTTTGTATCTTTTGAAAGCAAAGTCCTTGGTAGAAATTAGGGAATCTATTTTCTCCAGTCATTTGAAATAGTACCAGTTATGAGCCAGACATGCTCCAAACATTTAAGAAAGAGGACCCAGGCTGAAGAGATTTGCAAAAATGTGTCAGACTAATAATATTAGTAAATAAGTGATAACTTTACAAAATTTGACTAAATTAACAGGTTTATTTCAAAATCCTCAGAAAAATATATTATCCATAATCATTGGTACATTATGGAAAGATCTAGTGTATTGTTTACACAAAAATAAAGCCAATAGATAAAATCTTTACTTTCAGTGACAAAATAGAAGTAACTTAATTTAATATGGAAGCTGATACTATATTTTTATGATATAACATTCAGTTTGTGCTCTGTTAGGAACAAGATGGAAGGGCAAAGTTTTGGGGGAATTTCTGTGTCGAGCTAAAATGCAATATTCTGTCTCAGAAATGCAATATCCTATCCCAGAAATTTTTATCACCTTTCTGGGAACTACAAGTCAAACACAGCTATGAACTAGATTATTGTATGTTTGAAACTCTATTTTTACCTTGTTTGCCACATCTCCAAAAGTCAAGTTTGTCAGAGCCATTCCAGCATACCTCCTTAATGTAACACTATAGTGGTCATTTGTAAGTCCATACATTTCACAATCCACTTGCAACAGTTCTGCAATGGTCTGCAAACCTCCTTTTAAAATAAATAAATAATGAAATGAATATTAATAAACAATACTACTACTAATAATAAATTTCAATCCTAATATCAAGAATACAGTATACACACATCAAGGAATAAATTGCATTCATATGTACCGAACACATCTCAAACATCTGAAAACCAAAAGGCTCAGAAAGGTAAATAATAATTTCTTAAATACACTGTTAAATGTTGACTCTGGATCTTGATTTGTGTGCTTAGTACAAGATGAAAGGTATGGTAGCATGGTGTTGAGATTTTGGGGGAAGATGAGAACAGACGCATTTATGAAGCGGTAAGAAGCGCACCCATCTTTTAATTCCACCCAGTCAAAATCACATTTGACTGATGAACTCACATTAGTTACATAAAAATTTATTCAGTAAATCTGATAATTATTAATTTAATAATTATTATTACTGAATCTTACTATCACAGAAAAAATACATATTTTTAAATACTTTTTTTTCATTGAGAATGAAAAGTGGCAAATTAAGGAAACTTGCGTGCACAGAATTCACTGAAGATGGACTAAAGCATTCAGGATGTTATACAGGAACCAATTTGTTTAACTCATGATGCAAAAAAACCTCAGAAAGTAGTCTCCATTAGAAGTCCAATACTTCTAAAATTGCAAATATTTCCAGGATACGAATACCCTTCCAAAAATCACAGCTCATGCCAGATATGAGAGTAACCTGTCCACTAGGAAATAGTCTAGCTATAAGTTCATTTAAACTGCATCAATCAGAGTTTAAACTAGTGGTTAAAAAAAGCGCCACATATTCAGTGAGGTATACAAGAAAGGAATGTCCGCATTTTCAGGAAGCATCTCAAAGGAAGTTAGAGAAACACATTTAGTCTTACCAAGCTCATTCATGGCATGCCTATGTTCTTCATCAAATGAAAGTTTCATCAAAACACACACTGCAGGACAGATTTGATGGTCGACTGGAGCTGGCACTGATTAGGAAATAAATAGGTAACTATTAGTATTTCTTTGGTGAATAATTTTTTCTAGATCATAAGCTTTCCAAAGAGAATCAAATCTTAAAATAAATAAAGTGCAGTTTTTTTCAGGGTTTATATCTTCCCAGTAACTCAAGAAGAGACAGTTAATTAAGAACATTACTAATAAATATGAGTACACAGAGGCTTGAATATGTGCACATACAACCAGGATTACATATATTACTAGAAATATACTTGAAGTTGAAAAGACTCTTTATGGAAAAGAATTTAGGGAGAATTCTGAATGTATGTATTACATAAAAATTATGACTTCAAGTACAAAAAATTATCTAATTAATTTGGAAAAATAATAATCTTAGTGAAACAAATCAGTAAGTTTAAAACTTCTGGCATCATTAAATAATACAACACCTAAGGTGAAACTGTTTCTTTGAGTGTTATGTCCTTATGAATGGTTAATTAAGCCCTTTGTTTCATAACAGAACTTTTTAAGTTCATAATTTTGTGAGCTACTTTCCCTAAAGCACAAATTGGTACATCTTATTCAGAGATCCACTTCTACAAAATGATTCTTGCAGTAAAATCCAACATCCAAAACAGAGCCCACTGATTTCAGTAGTACTTCTGATATAGATGTCTACAGCATATATTTACAAAATAGCAACTTTAATCCTCCCTTACTTCAGAAAAGCAGTTATTGAGTGATCCAGAAGGTTACTTCTTTTTTAAAAAAACCCAACTGTTATGTGAGAAAACTCCAATTCACTTAAATTGTCAATTCTTTGGTATTTTAACACTGAGCTATTTCTTATGCACATTCTAGATAATAGTTCACATTTTACTGAATAGACTTTCTAGATGAAATTTAGATGAAATCTTCTGAACACATCTGAATGAAGAGCAAATTTGGATTATTTATTTAGATATATTTCATTATCCATTCAAGTGTAAAATAAAAATGAGTATAAATTTATGTTTAATTTGTAGATTATAAATATTTTTATATTGTTTTCACTACAATTGTATCTGGAAAGCATACCAAAGCCTATGATTTAAAGAACAAGTTTATAAATGAGATATCATATCTATAATAGATACTATTTCCTGATACTACCTCAACTTGAATATACATAAATAAACGAATAAATATAAAAATAAAATAAACCTTACATACATTCAACAAGAAGTCAGATTAAAGCTGATTTTTTTGTAAATTCTCTGCTTTCAAAATATCTTTTAAACATCTTTATACAGATTACAGAACCTACTTGGGTTTTTGTCTTGGTCCATGCCTTCTTCATGTGCCTCCTGCCATTTCCAACACGTTTCACAGTAAGCAAGGATTTGCTCCAAGAGATGAAGCACACGGATTTCCCGTCTGCCTCGCTTATCATCAGGCTGGGAGTGAATGATGTTATGCAGTGCTGCGCTGGCTCTGGCACGGGCCTCTTTACTACCACGGGAATTTCCTAACAACACAGAGTCTTTATCATTGCCATGTAAAAGCTGGATGAGGAGAGGAAGACATCCAGACTGACGCATAGCTATGCAGCTGTCTTGGGAGCTAGACATTGCTAGCAATGTTCGTGACATGTCATCTTTATCATGAGTACCAAGCATCGACAATAATGAATACACCATTTCCACCTGCAGGTCAAATGATTTTAAAAATACAATTACATTTTAAAAATACATATAAAACTAAAACAAAGTTCTCAATAGCATGCATGAGCAAAAAAGAAAATTTATTTATATAATGGTGCAAGAATTTCATACAATCATAGAACCATAGAATGGTATGGGTTGGAAGACAACATCTAGTTAGTTCCAACCCCCCTGCCATGGGCAGGGACATGATCAGGTTCCTCAAAGTCCCATCCAACCTGACCTTGAACACTTCCAGGGATGGAGAATCCACAACTTCTCTTGGCAACCTGTTGCAGTGTTTCATCACCCTCATTGTGAAAAATTTCTTCCTTATATCTAGCCTAAATCTACCCTCTTTTAGTTTAAAACAATTACCCCTTGTCCTGTTGCAACAGACCCTGCTAAAGAGTTTGTCCCCATCTTTCTTATAAGCCCCCTTTAAGTATTGAAAGGCCGCAATAAGGTCTCCCCGGAGCCTTCTCTTCTCCAGGCTGAATAACCCCAACTCTCTCAACCTTTCTTCATAGAAGAGGTGTTCTAGCCCTCTGACCATTTTCATGTCCCTCCTCTGGACCCGCTCTAACAGGTTCATGTCTTTTTTGTGCTGGGGGCCTCAGAAATGGATGCCATACTCCAGGTGGGTCTCACAAGAGTGGAGTGGAGGGGGAGAATCACCTCCCTTGACCTGCTGACCATGCTTTTTTTTACATTTACACAGCCCAGCATACAATTGGCTTTCTGGGCTGCAAGCATACATTGCCAGCTCATGTCCAATTTTTCATCTACCTCATATCCTGAAGTCCTTTCCTGCAGGGCTGCTCTCAACCCATCCACCCATCCATCCATCCATCCATCCATCCATCCATCATCCAGTTTTGTACTACTTCGAAATAATTAAATAAACACTATTAGTTCTTCACCATTTATAATCTTAATAAATCTCACTTAGTGGTTAAATGGCTAGAATGTTAATTATATCTAACTGTATTAATCTGCAAGACTAATGGCAAAGACTTCTAACTTGCCACTGCACACAAGGATTAAAGAAACATACTAATCAAAGTGCTTTAGTTTGGGAATGCAGGAATATATTTAAAATTAATTTGATCTCAGAAGAGTATGTTCTGTATGAATCATACTTTCATGAACAGATGCTCTTCAGTGAAAAATTTGATGTATGGCATTAAATACAGTTACTCCAGACAAGACTGTTTACATGAATTTTTAACATACATTGTGCTAAAAAAACTTACACATTATATTGGGTTTGCATGGCAAGGTTTTGGTAGTGGTGGGGGCTGCAGGGGTGGCTTCTGTGAGAATTTCCTAGAAGCTTCCCCTGTGTCCAACAGAGCCAGTGCCAGCCAGCTCCAAGACAGACCCACTGCTGGCCAAGGCCAAGCCAATCAGCGATGGTGGTAGCACTTCTGGGATAACATATTTAAGAAGGAGGGGGAAATGGCAAGCAGCAATTGCAGCTGGAGAGAGGAGTGAGAATATGTGAAACAACTCTGCAGACACCAAG